GAGGAAGGTTATCACCTTGAGTGGTGGTTTCCGATCACACCGGTGGGCACAAGGCCATCACTATAGCGAACCGTACCTGCCACCCACTCCCTATGGATTTCTCACTTGCCCCTGGGTATAGAGGGAACTGTTGTGTGCAAGGGTTTGTGTACAGTTTGTATTTCAAACAATTGCGTAAGTATAAACAAACAACAGTTATTAAAGCCAAGCAATAAAACATGTTATAATACAAAGGTAGGGTAAAAGCGGTATTTTCTTGATTTATTTACTTTAGGCTAGCCCATCACTAAATGGGATCAACTCTCTAGGCTTCCCCAGCGGAGTCGCCATCTGTCGACACTGTCAAAAAGAGGCGGTCGGAGCGACGCGATGGTTTCGACCCTCTTGATTTTCGCGTTTTGGTGGTTACAACGCCTTTAGGTTGTCCGATAACCGGGCTGAACCTAGGGGCGAGGTTTTCAAAAAGGCGCTCTTGGACTGTCCGATAACCGGGCTAATCCAAAAGCTAGTTTTGAAGGGTTTTATGGAGTCACCACCGATGTTTTTACCGGAAACATCGGAAAAGGAGTTAAAAGGCGTTGATTTTTGAAAAACCAACTTTGGTCGTTAGAACCAGAGTTGGGTAAGGGAGTTAGTTACGTGTAAAGGAAGTGTTAGTTCCTTTACGATGCCCCTTTCGAGTTCCCTATGACAGGCCAGCTATTTAAAAATATTTAAACCGATGAAAATTACGCTTATACCCTTTTATTCTGCGGAATTTAAAATTACGACTACATGGCCCTAGTATCTATTGCATAATTTAAAATTAAAGCGATAAAAGTAGAGAGGGAGAATATAAACCTCCGAAGCACGCTTTTATATTATTTTCCTTCTAAAAATAGGGTGCTTTGTGGCAACCCCTCACTCTACACAGCGTCAGAAACTTCTCGAAATGCCGAAAAACACTCACAGAAACACTCTGAAGCTCCGGAAATGCGTCGGAGGGATTCTAGAGAGAGAAACTTAGGTGATTTCTAGAGAGAAGGAGGAGAAACTGTGTGTGGGTCCGGAAATGAGGGAATGGAGCCTCCTATTTATAGTTTTTCGCGCCTGACAGGTCGAGACCGCCGTCTCGTCTGACAGGGTCGAGACCGCCGTCTCGCCAAACGAGACCGCCGTCTCGCCCTTCGCAGGTGGCGAGACCACCGTCCCGGAGAGCGAGACCGCCGTCTCGCCATTCGTAGGTGGCGAGACGGCGGTCTCGATTTTGAGACGGCGGTCTCGTCCCCAAAAAGGCGAGAAACCTTATTTTTGTGCAGAAAATCCCTTCTATCCTAGTATGGGGCCTAATAGTCTCTCCTAGTGGCTTCTTAGGCTTCGTCCATCTTCGAATAAGAGGTCTTTTACTCTTTATTTGGAGGCCGGGCAAGATTTGGGGTCTACACGCCTTTTCGAAAACCTCGCCCCTAGGTTCAGCCCGGTTATCGGACAACCTAAAGGCGTTGTAACCACACCAATAAAAATGCGAAAAGCGGAAAGTCGGAACCATCGTGTCGCTCCGACCGCCTCGTTTTGACGACGGCGACAATGCATAAGCCTCCAAAGCACAAGTGTGATAAAATTTCGTAACATGACATTTTTTACTATCATAATCATTTATGATACATCAGAAATGGAAAAACAATTTTTTCTTTGTCATAATCGATTATACTGGTAACATAATCGATTATGGTAGTTCAAACTTGAAAAATATATCCTTTTTGAAGAATAAATGTTTTTGAATACTTCCTGATTTTTTCTCTACGAAAGTATTAATGACCAACGACTATTTTTTTATGCTATTTTACTATTTAAATGAGTTTTGATGAAAAATAAAAAATACACAATTACAGAATTTGAAAATACAATTTTACATTCATTCAGTTTTAAGAAAAGAATTTTGAGCTAGGCAACAGAGATATTTTACACCTTCTGAGAAAACCTTCTGAGAAAACCTTCTTCTCTACTGCCTTCTGCACTTTCATTGTTAATCACACTTATTCTTGGAGGTTGGCATTCTACAGTGTAGACCCCAATTCTTGCCCCACCTCAAGATAAAAGTAGAAGACCTCCTATTCGAAGATGAACAAAGCCTAAAAAGGCACTGGGAGAGAATATTAGGCCCCATATTAGAGTAGGAGGGCTTTCTTGTACACAAAATAAGGATTCCTGCCTTTAGGGGTCGAGACCGCCGTCTCGCCACTTTCCATTGGCGAGACCCCCTCCTATTTGGCGAGAAGGCCCTCTCGCCATTTGGCAAGTCGAGACCGTCATCTCGCCAAACGAGACCATCGTCTCGCCACTTATTCAAGTCGAGATCGTCGTCCTGAATGGCGAGACCGTCGTCTCGACCTTGCCAGTCGAGACCACCGTCTCGACCTGACAGGCGCAAATCCCTATAAAAATGGGTGCTCTCCCCTTCATTCCACATAGTTCTTCCACTTTTCCTCCTTCATTTTCTCAAAATTCTTCTCTTAGAGCCCCTTCTCCGAAGCATTTCCGGAGTGTTTAAGAGAGCTTTTTATAGCATTTTTGAGCGATATTTCAACGTTGTAAGAGCGTAGGGCTGCCAAAACGCACCCTATTTTTCAAGGGAATTAATCAAAGCTTGTTTTGGAGGTTTCTTCATTATCCCTCCCTCTCTTTTACTGCTTTATTATTTGTATATGCATTAATTAGGGTCATGTAGTCATCATTTTAATTCCACAAATAAAAGGGTAAAAGCATCATTTCATAAGTTTATAAAATAATTGACCTGTCATAGGGAACCTGAAAGGGGCATCGTAAGGGAGTTAATACCTCCCTTACACGTAACTAACTCCCTTACCCAACTCTGATTTTAACGACCGAAGTTTGTTTTTCTAAGAAACCAATGCCTTTTTCTTCCCTTTTTCGATGTTTCTGGAAAAAACATCGGTGACGACTCCATAAGAACCCTTTCAAACTCGTTCTTAGGTCAGCCCGGTTATCAGACGACCTAAGAACGCCCTTTCAAAAACCTCGTCCTTCGGTTCAGCCTAGTTTTTGGACAACCTAAAGGCGTTGTAACCTCGCCCATAATTAAACACAAAAAATGGAAAGTCAGAACCATCGCGTCGCTTCGACTACCTCTTTTGACGGTAGCGACAGATGGCGACTCCACTAGGGAAGCCTAGAGAGTTGATCCCATTTAGTGATGCGCCAGTTTAAGAAATAAACTAAGAAATTTTGCTTTTACCCTACCTTGTATTATAACATGCTTTAATTTCTTGGCTTTAATAAATGTTGTTTGTTTATTTTATGCAACTGTTTGAAATAAAATTGTACACAAACCTTTGCACACAACAGTTCCCTCTATACCCGGGGCCAAGTGAGAAATCCATAGGGAGTGGGTGGCAGGTACGGTTTGCCGTAGTGAGGGCCATGTGCCCACCGGTATGATTGGAAACCACCACTCAAGGTGATAACCTTCCTCTTTTTGCACAAAGAATGATTATGACCTTAGTGCTAAGCATGGTCGGAAGGCTGGAGAGTGGGGACCCTATAATGGGGGCACCTTGGGGGCCTAAGCCTTGGTGAGAACAGTTAGAACCTACCCTTGCCAATGCACTTTTCTGCAATAAAACCCTACCTCATGATTAAAACTACTTCTCGTCTGTTCGCGGATGAGTGAATTGTATGTGCATTTGTTTGTTGCCACACAGTCCGACAGAAGAGATAAGGGACGCTAATATTATTTTTTCGCAATAAACCATTCTATCTCGGACAGTCTGCCTTTTAGCTAGTCTGGCTTCAGGTTCTTTGTAAGCTAAGTAGCCACGCAGTCTGACAGAAGACATAAAAGGCTCTAAAACAAAATAAAATAAAGTAAATGGGACTTTGTTCACAAACATTAAATTCATAAATCATCCATATAGGTAGTTTATTTTTCTGAAAATAAACATGCAAATACATCATGTAGAAATAAAACATGATAAACATTTAGGTTAAAACAAACACTCGCATGCATACCCACAATAAGCATCATGTTCTTAAAACATGCATTTTTGTTTTTAGAAAATGGAGGGGACTAGTAGACAATTGAAGAAAGTGGACATTCCCCAGTACCATACTGAGAAGCACGAATAGCTTTGCGCAATAATGTCGTCGGAGGTCCGCTTTGACTTCGAAAAATCCTATAGAAGGATCCTCGACCTGTTGAAGATCTGTGTTGATCCCATTTTTATCAGGGTTCTAGTTCATTTTTGGAACTCTAGTCTGCACTGCTTCGAATTCCCGCAGTTCGATATGGTGCCCAGTTTGGAAGAGTATGAGATTATGCTCAAATGACCCAAATCAGTCGGGGTCCATATTCGCCACGGGGCATATACTTCTGCAGCACAAGTTGCTGCCATCATCCGATTGACATTCCGGCAGACTACCCTGATAGAAAAAGGGAACATTCAGGGTTGGAAAGTCTCAATGTTAGAAGACCATCAGTCCTCTTTGGCTGAAAGGGCAGAATGGTCCGCTTTTAACAAAACCTTGGCCTTGATTATATTTGGAACAATCTTGTTTCCCTTCCATATCGACACAGTAGACCAAGCCGTCATGGACGCCTTCTTCGCCTGGGACGTGAACTCGAAGAGTCCCTTGCCTGCACTTCTTGTCGACACCTTGCTCTCGGTGGAATTATGCCGCCAAAAGCAAGGAAAAAGACTCTGATGTTCCTCTTCACTACTTTTTGTGTGGGGAATCACACATTTCTACGCCTCTAGTCAGATGGGGATATTCCCCGACCCTTTGAGAAGCTTCTCCAAAATCCCTCTCCACCGACGCCTAACCTTAGAGTGGAAGGTCGAGTTGAAACAATGGGACACCAACCAATTATCCTGGGTTTGCCCTTGGTTCCGACCCGGCCCAGTCCTCATCATATGTGGGGATTACCCGAGCATACCGTTGATAGGACTCAGAGGTTGCATAGCCTATTCACCAAGAGTATCTATGAGACAACTCATGAGGACTCAAACTGCAATATCCCGAGAGGAGCTCGAAGGACTGTGTTTCTTCGGAGACCCATGCACAGTTGCTAACTCACTAGCTGTGAGAAGAGCATGGGAGAAGCCAGTCTTTATGGGAGATAGAGAGCTAGGAAAAGCTCGAGTAGCTGTCTCCAATGACTATGAGAAATGGAGACGGAAAAGAGGGATGTCACAACCATCCACCTCACTCGCTACATGTTCAAACAGTGAAGAGCTGCGAAATCAAGTTGACGCCTTGACCCGGAGGATAGAAATCATGGGAACCTAGATAAGGGCCCTTGAAGAAAGAGAACAAGAATCTATCCTCACCATAGATGGTCTATAGAGGCAATGCAAGAAAAAGGATCATGAAATAGAGCTCCTCAAGGATCATTGTGTCTATTCTAACGAGCAAGCTATCCGAGCATCCAAAGAAGCTAGGACTAGTTCGGATAGCCAACTTCAAGAAATAACCGCCAAATCAGCACACCTTGAGGCCGAATGCGCAAAATAGGCTCAGACGATCAAGGATTTGCTACAAGACCTCACAAGGACTCGGTCAGAAATACTCTAAGAACGAGAGGCCAACCAGAGACTCAACAAAAGTCTCACTGAGCTACGCTGCAAAGAAAGAGACGGGCTAGCTCAGTACGGTCAAGTACTGTGAGAAAAGGACCGAGCCCTCACAAAGCTCGATGAGTTGCAAGCCTTGGTCATCCATCAAGAGGCGAAGATCAAAGAGGCTCAAAAGTACAGTGAAGATATGAGCCAGGTGGTCCAAAAGCAAACCGAAGCACTTGCTCGTCATGTCCGGGAACCCGAAAAGAGTTGCATAGAGATCAATACCCGCCTGTGGGTTTCTTTAGACTTTTCTGTTTCTGTCAAAAGTTGCTTCGTAGTATGGAATAGGGGAATGTACACTTTCTACGGATAAATGAAATTTATTTATTCAACGATTGTCCACTTGCATGCATAGCATTCATTTGCATATTTAATTTCCCCTCCTTCACTTTTAATAAACAAGATAATAAAAAGGAAGGATTAAATGACACGCCTTCCAAATCGGAGAAGAATGGAGAGAAAGCCGATTTTGATCAAGCTCTCCCCAACGGTCGATCCATCGCAAGAGGATAATAAGCCTCGACCGTTGGTCCTCAAAATCAATAAGGAAGAGGGGGCAAGGACACCTGTGCGACTATTTATGCCACGTCCTTTCCCCTACAAATCAAATAAAGTTGTACCGTGGACGTCGCCGGCGTCAAAAAGAGACGGTCGGAGTGATGCGATGGTTTCGACTTTTCCATTTTTCGTGTTTTTATGGGTGATGTTACAATGCCTTTAGGTTGTCCGATAACCGGGCTGAACCGAAGGGCGAGGTTTTTGAAAGGATGTTCTTAGATTGTCCGATAACCGGGCTGACCTAAGAACAAATTTGAAAGGGTTCTGATGGAGTCGCCACCGATGTTTTTACCGGAAACATCGAAAAAGGGGAGAAAAGGCGTTGGTTTTCGAAAACCAACTTTGGTCGTTAAAACCAGAGTTGGGTAAGAGAATTAGTTACGTGTAAGGTAAGTGTTAGTTCCCTTACGACACCCCTTTCGGGTTCCCTATGATAGGCCAGTTATTTTATAGATAAACTTTCAAAAAGACGCTTTATCCTTTTATTTGCAGAATTAAAATAATGACTACATGGCCCTAATGTCTATTATGCAATTTAATCGTAAAAATAAAGACAGTAAAGGGGAGGGAGAGAGTGAAGAAACCTCCGAAGCAAGCTTTTTGATTAATTCTCGTAAAGATAGGGTGCGTTTTGGCAGCCGTTCGCTCTTACAATGCCGGAAATCGCTCTCGAAACGCTATAAAAAGCTCTCTAAGACACTCACAAACTCCAGAAATGCTTCGGAGGGACTCTAGGAAGAGAATTTGAAGAAAGTATAGAAGGGAAAGTGGAAGAACTATGTGAAATTAGGGGGGGACTGCTCACTATTTATAGGGATTCGCGCCTGTCACGTCAAGACGCTGGTCTCGACTAGCAAGGTCAAGACGACCGTCTTGCCATTCGGAACGACCGTCTCGACTTGTTTAAGTGGCGAGACTGTCATCTCGTTTGGTGAGACGACAGTATCGACTTTCCAAGTGATGAGAAGGCCTTCTCGCCAAACGGGAGGGGGGTCTCGCCATTGGCAAGTGGCGAGACGGCCGTCTCGACTTGTATCAATGGCGAGACGGCAGTCTCGACTCCTGAAGGAGAAAATCCTTATTTTTATATAGAAAATCCTTCCTACTCTAACATGGGGCCTAATAGTCTCTCCTAGTGGCTTTTTAGGCTTCGTCCATCTTCGAATAGGAGGTCTTCTGCTCTTTTTTTGAGGTCGGGCAAGATTTGGGGTCTGCAACTGCCCCCTATAGACCCCTAATTTTGCCCGGCCTCTCAATAAAGGCTAAGAAGACTTTGTATCTGAAGATAAAGCTTCGGTGGACGTCTATCGGCATCAATCGACTTCCAAATAAAGAAAGGAAAGCTTCCCGGGAATCCCAGAACACAAAATCTGGCCAAAACAGTCGAGATGGTCGTCCCAGAAGTTGGGATGGTCGTCCCAGTCAGCCCAGACGCCCATCCCACATGCTAGACGATCGTCCCAACCAGTTTTGACACTTGGGACGGCCGTCCCAGATCCCAGACAGCCGTCCCGGTCTCTACAGACGGTCGTCCCGGTCTCTGCAGACGGCCATACCTATTTTCTGCACCCCAGACGGCCGTCCCGAGTTGCCAGACTGAAAAAACTATAAATAGGAAGCTCATTTGAGCGTTTTTCACACTCCAGACACTTGTCTTCTCTCCCTCTTTCGAATGGACTCTCCGATTGCCTAAAAGGGTAACAATCGGTTAAGGAAGATTCTTCCAACATTTGATTCTTCTTAAAATTTTGGTAGAGTCAGTCCTGTAATTGGGGAGGAGAGTCTTGGTAGAGCGGGGGATTTCCAAAACGCATCCTCACAGTTAAAGATTTGCAATACAAAGCTTGTTACGGAGGTTCTTTTCACTTCTCTTCTCCTTTATTGCTTTATTTATGGCTTTATGTATGCAATAGAAAATAAAATCATGTAAATAGCCATTTTTAAAATATTGTACAATAAAATAGGGTAATAGCGTAATTTCTCTTAATCTTTACTTTATGAATTAATCCGTCATAGGAACCCGAAAGGGGCGTCGTGGGGTGCTAACACCTTCCCCACGCGTAACTAACTCCCTACCTAACTCTGGTTATAATGGCCAAGTTTGGTTTTTCTTAAAATCAATGCCTTTTTATCCTTTTCCAATGTTTATGGTCAAAACATTGGTGGCGACTCCATAAAAACCCTTTTTCGAAAACCTTGCTTTTATTAGAGGATAGTTTAGTTGTTGAGCACCTCAGAAGCAATGAACACATTTTAAAATAAAACGCGAGTCTAAACCATCTTTTCACGACCGCTCGCATAAATGTTCGAGATGTCCCTAGACGTCGGAACGGACGGCGGCGACAGATGGCGACTCCACTAGGGAAGCTAGAGAGTTGATCCCATTTAGTGACAAATAAATTCAAACTAAGTAAAGATTTGAAATTACGCCTTTACCCTCCGTTGTATGTTTTATTATATGGCTTTAATAACTGTTGTATGATTATTTTCTGCAAATTGTCTGAAATATAAAATGCACAAAAAAACCCTTGCACACTACAATCCCTCTATACCCGGGGGCAAGATTGAATACCTATAGGGAGTGGGTGGCAGATACGACCGGCTTGTTGGCACACGGGGCTACAACCGTTGTCAGAAAACCACCAACCCAAGGTGATAACTCTCTTCTTTTGGTCCAAGGATGTCGACATGGAGTTCTGTGCATGACCCGAGGACTAAGAGATTGAGAGGTCCCTATAATGGGGGCACCTTGGGGACCTTTGGCCTTGGTGATAACAGTTTAGAACCGCCTAAACCAAGCACATTTTTGCAGGAAAACCCTACCTCGAAATTAGCGTGGATCTGTTCGTGGATGAATGAATTGTGTGTGCATTCGTTTGCTGCATTTGTATTGATGCATTAACATAGGGTAATCATAAAACAGACAAAAATAGTGAAAAACCCTAAAAAACCATAAAAGTGATAAGAATAAACCAACTTTATCTCGGATATTCTTCAGTTAAGCTAGCCTGGTTTCAGGTTCTTTGTAAGCTAAGTAGCCACATTAACCGACAGAAGAGATAAAGGGTTATAAAAAATATAAAAACGATTAAAACCAATAAAAATACCTCTTACAATAAAAAGATTTTTGACAAAGTATTATTCATACAATATTTGTTCATAAAAATAATAAGAGAAGAAAATAGGACTCTCTTCATCAAAATCCATAAACATTCATATAGATAGTTTTATTTTCAAGAAAAAACCAAGCACTATCATGTATCATACTAGGAATAAAACATGATAATACTTAGAAAAAACAAACACTTACATGCATGAATTTACAAAGACTCATCCTCATATCATGCATTTTCATTTCTTTTAGATAATGGAGGGATCCAGTAATAAACAGTTGAAGAAAGTGGAAATCCTTCTATGCCGTGTAGAGAAGCTAAGGCAGTTGTGTACATATATGCCGCCAGAGGTCAGTGCTAATTTTGAGAAATCTTATGGAAGGATTCTTGACCTCCTAAAAATCAACATCGATTCTATCTTTGCTAGAGCATTGGTGCACTTCAGGAACCCCGACCTGCACTGTTTTGAGTTTTCGCAGTTCGATTTAGTACCAACCTTAGAAGAATATGAACTCATGGTTAGATGGCCTCAGTCAGTCGGGGTCTATGTCTGCTCAGGAGTATATGTTGCCGTGAACAAGGTTGCTACTATTATACGATTGCCTTCTCATCAATCCATCCTAGAGGGAACAGGGAATATCCGAGGTTGGAAAATGTAAATAATAGAAGACCACTTAATCTCTTTGGCTGAAAAGAAAGATTGGTTAACCTTCAACAAAACTCTAGCATTGGCAATGTTTGGAATCATATTATTCCCATTTCATGTGAACATTGTGGATCATGCTGCAATAGATGCATTCTTTACCTGGGATGTATACTCTAAGAGTCATATACCTGCAATTCTCGCTGATACCCTGATTTCAGTAGATTTTTGCCGACAGAAACAGGGGAAAACATTTAGATGTTGTACTTCATTACTATATGTATGGGGCATTACTCACTTCTATGCTTCAAGCTACATGGACATATTCCTTGATCCTTTAAGGAGTTTTTCGAAAATCCCTCTTCAACATCATCAAGCTCTAGAATGGAAAACCGAGTTAGAAAATTGGAAAATAGAGCATGTATCATGGGGTTGCCCTTGGTTCCGACCCAGTTATATTCTTATATGATGCGGAGATTACCTGAGCATACCACTACTAGGCCTCAGGGGTTGCATAGCTTACTCTCCCAAGATAGCTATGAGACAACTCATGAGAACCCAGACTGTGCTAACTCAAGAGGAGCTCAAAGGGCTGAGTCTATGCCATTACTCCCATAGCTTTGAAGAAGTATCTGCTGTCCGGAAAGCATGGGAAAGACTAGTCTATATAGGAGATAAAGAACTCGGAAAGGTTCAGATGTCTACATCCCATGAATATGAGGAGTGGAGGAAAAGTAGAAGGATACCCCAACCATCTGCTACATTCACTACAACATTAGTTAATGAAGAGCTACAATTGCAGGTCAATACCTTAAACAAAAGGGTAGAAGTAATGGAAGCTCAGTTGAGGGCTTTTGAAGAGAAAGAACAAGA